GAAGGTTGGGCAATCCTACTTCCATAGTGATACTGCCTCAGAAACCCAAGGAGGGGTCGCTATGAGTTGGGGCCTACTCGACGGCAAATAACAACAACAACAACTAGGATATGTAAAGATTTACACTAAAATGTTTAAATCAAATGTTGGTCTTTTTCTAAATAAAACCTGAAATTTTAACTTTGTGGATTGTTTTATTTTGTAACAATTCTGGATAAATAAGATGTTATTTTACTCCAAATAAATCCAGCTATAGACAAAGCTTATCCAGTTACATTCCACACACAGGAATACATGAGTTTTCACATTTTAATTATTGTTTTCCTTAGATTCCGTGGTGTGCATCATGCATTTGCAAAAATCTTAGCAGAAGGAGGAGTACGTGGGCTTTGGGCAGGCTGGGTGCCCAATATACAAAGAGCAGCATTGGTAAATATGGGAGGTAATGAAAACTTTTTTTGAATTCTGATAAATCCTCATTGCCTTAATCATTAAAACTTCTATCAGGAAACTGAAAATTCTTAGTTTTCACTTTCATTATTCTAATAACATGTTGGTGACAGGCTTATTATATATTATACTGCTATAACTGAATATTTTCCTTAGAACATTTTCATTTTATTTTACAATAATATGTGAAAAGGGTTTCCTAAAACAAGCAAACTGTGGCAATAAAGAGATTAGGCAAAAAATTTCTAAGGTCCTCTCTCCAGCCCAAACCTTCCTCTAAGATTCAAATGGATATATACAACTATGTGGCAGACATTATATCCAAACTATCCAAATCTGCTCCCCCAGTCATCTTGTTGTTATTTCTTTATAATCCATCTGGTACAGCCAGATATACCAGGCTGGAAATCTGAATGTTTCCTTAACTCATCTTTATCCCTCTCTTGTAATCAATTACTAATTTAGTCTAACTTCTAAGTATCTCTTAAAAGTTTTCTCTTCCTCCAATACTCAGTACCTTGTTATTGTTGTTAGGTGCCATAGAGTTGGCTCTGACTCATAGCAAACCTACATACAGCAGAACAAAACACTGTCTGGTCCTATGCCAGCCTCACAATCCTTGCTACACCTAAGCCCATCATTGTAGCCACTGTGTCAGTCCTTCTCATTGAGGGCCTTCCCCTTATTGCTGACTCTCCACTTTAGCAAGCATAATATCCTTCTCTAGGGAATGGTCCATTCTGACAACATGACCAAAGTAGGTGAGACGAAATCTGGCCATTCTCGCTTCCCACGAGCATTCTAGCTGTACTTCATCCAGGGCAAATTTGTTCATTTTTCTGGCAGTCCTTGGTACTTCCAGTATTCTTCGCCAACACCACAACTGAAAAGCATCAAGTCTTCTTTGGTCTTCCTTAATCATTGTACAGCTTTCATGTGCATCTGAGGCTATTGAAAATACCATGGCTTGGGTTAGGTGTGCCTTTAGTCATCAAAGAGACATCTTTGCTCTTTAGCACTTGAAAGAGGAAATTATTTTGCACCAGATCTGTCCAGTGTAATATGCTGTCTGATTTCTTGACTGCTACTTCCATTGGTGTTGATTTTGGAACCAAGTAATATTAAATCTTTGACAATTTCAATCTTTTCTCCATGTATCGTGGTTCAGCTTATTGGTCTAGTTGATTTTCATTTTCTTTATGTTGAGATGTAATCCATACTGCAGACTGTAGTCTTTAATGTTCAACAGTAAGTACTTCAAATCATCTTCACTTTCAACAAGCAAGGTTGTGTTGCCTGCATATGTAGGTTGTTAATGAGTCTTCCTCCAATCCTGATGCCACGTTGTTCTTTGTATAGTCCAGCTTCTCAGATTATTTGCTCAGCACACAGATTGAATAAGTATGATGAAGGGATACAACCCTGACGCATTCCTTTCCTGATTTTAAACCATGCAATATCCCTTTGTTCTGTTCAAAGAACAGCCTCCTGGTCTATGTACAGGTTCCTCATGAACACACTTAAGTGTTTTAGAATTCTCATTCTCAATGGTATCCATAATTTGTTATGATTCACACAGTTGAATGTTTTTGCTTAGTCAATAAAACTTGAGTATTATATCACCCCTCTGTTTAAAACCCTACAACAGTATTTTATTGTCATTTGAAAAAGTAAGTATAAAAAGTTTAGTATGGAAGAATGGTCAGGAATTTTAATTTATAAGTGGCAGAATTTTAACTCAACCTAAACCCAAAACAGCAAACCCACTGCTATCAAGTCAATTTTGGTTCAGCCTAGCTTAGGCTAAAAAGAGTATTTTTAGCTTACATAATGAAAACTATAGAGATTGCACTGACTTTAAACATAGCTGGATTCAAGTGCTCAAATGGTATAAGTGAATGTCTGTACTCTTGTTTTTTCTGTTTCCATATGTAGCTCTGTTCTCTTCTGCTTGAAAATGAGAATAATATCTTTCATTCTTATGTACATTCCTACCCTAATCCTAATATAGTTCTTGGCCCAAAGGATATTTATTATTAAATGAGAAAATAATTAAGTTGTCATCTTTTTTTTTTTTTTTTTTTTCTATTCCCAGATTTAACCACTTATGACACAGTGAAGCACTACTTGGTATTGAATACACCACTTGAGGACAATATTATGACTCACGGTTTATCAAGGCAAGTGATTGTTTTAGCTTGACTCTTTCTGTTTTTTTTTTTTTCCTCTATCACCCTTTTTTCTATTCTTGGCATAAATGTTAACTTTTGGGCTCTTTTGATCTGGAATCTAGTGACATTGCCCCTAGAGAAAGGTGATAGTACATTTATAGAGTGTGTTTTTGTTAGAGTTTGGTGCAGTTAATATGGGGAAGAGACAAACAGAGGTGCAGGATATTTCAGACTAAGCTTCCCAAAATATTTGCATCTTGATGGGGTCATCTCTGGGTCAAGTTCTAATTATGGACTCTCCAACTCAATTCAATGGATATCTTTGTGCACTTACATGTTAAAGACACTTGGCAAGGCCCTGCAGTAGGTGCAAAAAGAATAAAACCAGCTCCTGCCTAGGGAGCTTACCAAGGAGAAAAGACAGTTATGAAAACACTGTGCCAATGAAACAGTTAAAAGAAGGGAAAGAAGATAAACACTAGGAAAGGTATCATGAAGTAGGCAGAATATGTTAAGATTTTGAGGGGCTTTGACTCCTGACAGGCAGAGCCAGGAAGGAGGGCATTCCAGAAAGGGACAGTAGTACTTTGATTTAATTTGCAATACAATTTCAAATTATCATTAAAGTGAGTTACTGTGTAGATGGCTAGTATCCTTGACATTATAATGATTTCATTTAGTTTCTGATCTTATTTCCAAATTCTAGAGCTCCCTATGATAATTAGACAAGCAAAAAGTAAATAATAGTGTCTAGTAAGTGTTATCTTTAGTGCTGCTTGGACAGTCTTTTTTATTTGTGTTTGCTAACCATTCTTTCCCATTCTAAAGTCTCACCAGGTGTGTTCTCAAGCTGTACCATACTACTTCTAGTCGATAGCCTTGCTTCCTAATTCACAAAGAAAATTGATGATGTTAGGCCTCCTTAACTTTTCTACTCTTGTCAGTATAAGCCTGTTCATTACATCTTTAACCACCCTACCTTCCTTTCTCCACTGTTCTTTGCTCATGCTGTTCCCTCTGCCTATGAAATATTCTTCCCTAATTTCTACTTGGTTAAGTAATCTTTCGTTAACTTTTCATCTTTCAAGATTATTCTTTGTTCCCATGTTCTGGGAGTAGAATAGATCTGTCCTACAGCCCCACAGTGAAATTACCTTTGTTTCTCTACCCAAGTGTTCTTTAAAATAATGACACTTCTAACCTAAGATTCATGGATTTCTCTGCAGATATAAATCTGCCTGAAGTATGCTGCTCTGCCTACCAGATCTATCTGTTTTGGAAAGATATAAGATTTCCCATTCATACATTCCAGCTCTAAATCTGAAGTGTCTAAATCTTACCCACTGCCATCGAGTCAATTCCTACTTATAGTGACTCCCAATGGGTTTCCAAGGCTGTAAATCTTTTTGGAAATAGATTGCCTCATCTTCCTCTCGTGGAGCAGCTGGTGGGTTTGAACTGCTGACCTTTCTGGTTAGCAGCCAATTGCCTCACCCACTATGCCACCAGAGCTCCCTTATCTAACGGTGGTTTTGCAAAATATGGTATGATTGGTTCTTTGGTTCATTTTTGAGCTCCAGTCACTAGATCAGGTTTTGTATGAGTATATGTGGTATATACAAGGCAACTCAGTAGTTGCTAACCAAGAAATCAAATCTAGGCAGGTAAGCAGTGTGGTGTGATCAGGAAGTTCTAGATACTGTGTCACAGGATAAAATGAATGCTTAGGCTTGAAGGGAGAGCAGCTGTACAATCGGGGAGCTGTCAATATCTGAAGATAAGGTAGAGGAATTTGAGATGAAGAAAAATAGAAAATGTTGTTAAGTAAAATGACATCTTGCATAGGGTTGTTGTTGTTATGTGTTCTCGAGTCGAACCCGACTCATAGCAACCCCTCCTTGGGTTTCCACGGTGGTATCACTACGGAAGTAGATTGCCCAATCTTCCATCTGAGGAGTGACTGGTAGGTTTGAACTGCTAGCCTTCTGGTTAGCAGTCAAGTGCCTTAGGCACTATACTACCAGCGCTCCTTTACATAGAGTAGGAGCAGCCAAAGACCATGGACAGGATTTTATTGAGGTAGTAAGGCAGAGAAGAGAGCACGGTATGTTACTAAACCAAACTCACTGTGGTCAAGTCAGATTCTACTCATAGCCACCTCTCCTTGGGTTTCCGCACGCGTAGTATTGCTATGGAAGTAGATTGCCCAACCTTCCTTCCAAGGAGTGGCTGGTGGGTTTGAATCTCCAGCCTTCCAGTTAGCAGTTAAGTTCCTTAGGCACTATGCTACCAGAGCTCTCAGGTATGTTAATAAGAGAGTTGAATTACTGGTCAGGGAACTAAAGATCAAGATAATCCCTCCCCTTTTCCTTTCTAAATTATGGGGCTATTGAGATGCAAAACTACTATGGAAAAAGCCAGTTTACATTATATAAAGATTATCTGCTAGCAAAACTGTTTTGTTGGCCCAAAGGGGATTAATGAATCTATTGGAATATTTAAAACTAATCTTGTAGGTCACCTGGAAAGAACAGTACACTTGCTCAATCATGCTTTGACATTTTTACTTTAGTTGTTCCTAGGCTTTATTTTGGGGTATTAGCAACAAGGGGTAATAAAAGTCAAATAGTACAAAAGCTGCAGTGCTTATTATGGTCCAAGAAGCTTGGGTAAAACCAATATTCCTTTTAGTGCTCTGCCATCTCACTCTGATTCTAGATACCATCGTTCTTAAGACTTCTTTAATACATTATCTGCTGTCTTTTAATTTTTTTTTAAAGAAGTCTAGCCAGATCACACTATGAACCATGACCTCAATTTATAAGAAGAGAATGAAGCCATTAAATACTTCATTCATAAGTTACTTTGTACCAAATGAGGGCCCACAGTTGTTGTATGCTTGGAATACAGATAAAAGAATCCTCTTATAGTCAGTCACAGGAGATATCCATATTGTTTTAATCAAATTTATTGAAAATAGCATTATGGTAGATGTAATTTCCATTCTTGGGACTTACATAGGAAGCTGAACTGGCACCTAGCCTCTCTGAGGTAAATGAACAAGTGAAAATGAAGAGTTTCCTTACAGTCTTCTAGGCATAGAGAAGAATATTATGTATCTATCTCTATCCCATTTCTTTGCCCTTTTTTAACTTGTGGTTAGTTTTGTATGCTGTTTATGGTAGTTTCAGAATTTAGGTGAATATGTTAGTTGGTTGAAATGTTTCTATGTGAAAGTATAAAGAGATATTAAAATCAATGATATAAAACTTCAAAGAGTCTGAACAAACAGTAAAGCATGCAAAAGATCTGTAATTTGCACCTACCGGAACACATATGGCAAAACAATAAGTTCTTTCCACATAGGCAATGCTTGTTATATAGACAAAGACCCAAGAAAATTTATATGCTCTTTTTGTTTTGTTTGTTAAAATAAGATCAATAAAGCAGTGTGTGTGTGTGTGTGGGGGGGGTGGAGTTCATTTGTTGGGATACATAGATAGAGTACATGGGTTCCTTCTCTTGTACTGAAGTAGCTCTAAAGCATTTTTCTCTTTTGAGTTTTAAACCTTGATGTGAAAGAGGTAGAAAGAGTGTTGGTACTTCCTGTTACAACAACTCAGAGTAAGCAACAGCTCTGAAGATACCTATGCAACTTCAATTTCTTTACCACACGACCTCAGAGACGTAAAAAGCCTAGACACAGAAGTCATTGGTTCCATCTTTTTTAGACATTTCATGTGCCAGAAAGGCATAAAAGTTTTCCACAATTTTCCTCTCTATCTTTCCATTGTTATTGTTGTTGTTGTTATGTGCCATGGAGTCAGCCCCAACTCATAGCAACCCCTCCTTGGGTTTCCAAGGTAGTATCACTGCGGAAGTAGATTACCCCATCTTCCTTCCGAGCAGTGGCTGGTGGATTTGAACTGCCAGCCTTTTGGTTAGCAGTCAAGTACCTTAGGCACTACACTACCAGAGCTCCCTATCTTTCCATTAGCAAGATACAAACAAAACAAACTCACTGCCATTGAGTCGATTCTGACTCATAGTGACACCCAGTGGGTGTCCAAGGCAGTAAATCTTTATGCAAGTAGGCTGCCCCATCTTCCTTCCATGGAGCAGCTGGTGGATTTGAACCACCAACCTTCGGGTTAGCAGTAAAATGCTTTAGGCACTATACCACCAGAGCAGATATAGTTACTCATTATCCTATCTAAGGAGTGAGTGCTAGCAATTTCTGGATTTGGGCCTTCCTTTTTCCATGATTCAGGTTGACCATTCTTCTCAACACGTTTTTCTCCTGGAAAGTGTGAAACACCTGATGGGTTTTCAATTAACTGAATTTTTATCATATTCCTATATGTGGACATATATGATGAACTTCCAGTTGTTTCTTAACTCTTCTGTCATTAATTTACAGACTCTCCTTCAATTTATATCCCAGTGGGTTGTCTGCATCCATTTTGTATATTTTTGAAAATTTAAGGAGAAAGTCTTTCTGAGGAAGGGGTGGTTTACTTTGTTGGATAATGAGAAAAAAGATAAGCAGAAATTCTTCAAGCCTTATGCCTGAGCACAAGTTGAAGGAGAACAAAAATTTTCCAATTACATGGGGCTACATTCCACTTCCCTTGTTACCCTCCCGAGAGGGACCGGGTCTCCGGGAGCAAGGTAAGCATGGGCG